ATTGCAAAATAACAGTCTTGTCTCTCATGTCAATGTACTCCAATAGCACTCTTCACTGTCTTTCCCTCATTACAGTCAGTGAGATATCTATTGCTGGCCAAGTTGACTGATAAAGCAGTGAGCTTCAGTTTGTGGCGTAGTAAGCCAGTTGTTTAACCCATAAGAACCCGGACCCGTTTCTACTTTTGGGAACATTGAGAACATAATTAAGACATATATAGACCATATTTCTGATAAATAACCCCGCCTAGTGTCATATAACTCATAACTTCAATAATGAGGATGCGTTTTTGGTTTAAATAGGTTAGAACATTGTTTGAACTGAAGAATAAAGGATATATTAACTAAATGTAATTGAATCAGCTAAATGAACTGAGCAGATCATAATCATATTTCTAATATGTATAATATGTCACTCCGGGTTTCCTGTGAAAGTCAGGGTGGAACATCAGTGTAACTTTACAGAACATTAAAGTTCATGTGACACCGTGCCACGTTGGTTCCTTATGGGAAAGTATAAATATACATATGATAATTAAGACATCTATATACTATATTTCTGATAAATAACCCCCCCTAGTGTCAAATATCGGAAATGTCACATGTTGCACTTTTAGTTCAAAGAAAGTCTGGAAGTGGTTGCAGGCAATTTTATTTTAAATTTCACACTTTGAACATTGGAGAATCACATATTTTGTTGCTTAATGTTACATACATTAAGAAGTACTAAGTAAAAACAAAAAAAAATGGTCACTGAAGGAGCTGCACAGTGAATGTAACAAATAATGTTTATCAGATGTTAACACAGTAACCTTCCAAAAAAAAAAAATACAGTCTGTCTTTTATGTAGTCCTACGGGTCAATGTAAGCCGTAAGCACTCTCCTCACTCTCTTTCCCTCCCCCTCATTACAGTCAGTGATACCTATTGCTCTGTGTGGGAGGCTGTAAATCCCTTTCACCTTGCATTGTTCCCAACACAGACTGAACATCCACAGCCTCCTTACTGGCCTCACAAAAATTGTGGAGGACAAAGCAGGAATAAATGACAGGTCAACCAAGTTTATGTCCATAGGCCTTCTAAGTGCAGCAAATCTGTTCTTGAGGCGACCAAAAGCACACTCAATGACCATACGTGCCCTACACAAAGTTAGCCCAAAGTACTGTTCCTGAACTGTGGAGCCACCGGTTGCATATTCCTTCATCAGGTACGGCAGCAGCGGGTAGGCAGGATCACCAAGAAGATAAATTGGTATGGCCTCCTCCTCGTCCACAATCTGTTTTCTCAGAGCAGGGATCTTTCCAGTTTTCAAGTACATGTTTACCTTTGAGTTAGCAAACACCCGTGCATCATGCACACTCCCAGGCCACTTTACCACGACATCCATGAATCGGTACTTGTAATCACAGACGGCCTGTACATTAAGGGAATGTCTGCCTTTCCTGTTGATGTAGTCAGTGGGGTTGTTAGATGGCTGCTTGATTTCGATGTGGGTTCCGTCCACTGCTCCTAAACATTGGGGCATGTGATGAGCATGATCGAAGCCCTCAACCAGATCCGCGGTCTCGGGCTCAGTATAAGGCAGCTTGATATATTTTGGACCCAGGTGGATTGAGATCGCTCTGCACGTCTGCCTAATAATGCGGGACAAAGTCTGGCGCGAAACACCGAAGGCGTTAGCAGTCTTCCGCATCCTTCCCCCATCGCTCAGGTAATACAGTACTAACGCAACCCTTTTCAGTGGATCAATTGGTGCCCTCATGGTTGTTGTTTGCCTTTCAATATATGGGCACAGTTCTTCGGTCAGGGCGACGACAGAGGCTCTGGACATGCGGAAGTTCTCCCTCCATTCCTCATCCACGACAACGCCATTGACAAAATTGTCCCACCAACTGCTGCTTCTGCCCGGTCTTACCCAAAACCTTCTCCTGGTTGCCCTTCGGGTTATTCCCCGCGGTACTCTTAGCAACATGTAGATCATGTTCTCCATGTCCTGTTGTTGCTGATGGATGAGCTCCTGTAGATGTTGCACAAAGAACTGTAGCATGGTCAGTAGCGACTGGAGCACGATAGCAACCCTGCGATCCGCCATTGTTGTTGTTAACGAAACACATCAGCAATGATGCGGGGTACGCGGAGAGGTGGGAAGAGGTGGGAAGAGGTGGGGAGAGGTGCAGAGAGGCGGGGCTATGAAAACGAATGACCGTATAGGCGACTCCACGGCCCCGTTGGACCCCCCAGAGCGCTCCGTTCCCAGATCTATCCACCTTTGGACCCGTTGTCGTTTGCGGGGTCTGTTTCTACGTTTCCCTTACGGCCTCGTGGAGCTTAGAGGGCTATACGCATGAGAAATATGCGGATTCAACCCGTTTTCGTCCTCGTGGAGCCGGGGCCTTAAAATCACAAACTGCCATTTAGAGTCACAGTTTGTGTGTGGGTGTGTTTTTTTGTGTTTGTGTGTGTGTTAGTGTGTGTTGCATGTGTTTTGTGGAGGCGGGACTAAGGTTTATGAGGGTCATAAATCACTCTCTTTGTGTAGTACTTAATCTCATTTTGACAAACAGTTGTCTTTCAACTACAGTCATGCAACGATTCATTCAGCCCGCAGGCTGTTTCTCATGGCATTTATATTACCATGGGAAAGTTCACTTTGGAATAACAACGGCAAGAATGTTTCTCTACATTTAATTAATTAATTTGTATTTTATGAAGGATCATTATTGCCGTGATTGCTCTATTAATTTAATTAAATCAGAATCAGAAATCCTTTATCTGTCCCGCAACTGGGACATTTACAGGTGTTACAGCCGCAAAGGTGCAGTGCAATAAGAAAAAGAGTAGACTTGTAGACTAGCCTGTTAAGCCCCAAGCCTGTTTTTCAGGTCTCAGGCTCGAAAATAAACTTTCCACAACAACTGACAATAACTTCATTTCTAAAAGGGGTAAATTAATAATCTTTTTTCTCAAAGTAATGATAAACCTGTGAGTTGGATGTAGAAAAGTCAGAATCAATATAGATGTTTTTTATTTAAAAAAAAATTCAGATTGAACCAACACATTCTCACTCCCAACTCGGCCTATGTTGACGTCAGGGTCCCTGTCGTCACTTTCCAACGCAAGGGGGGGCCCTTTAGCGTGGAGTTTCAACTATCAGGGAGTCCCATTGACTTGCATAGAGCTCCCTGAACGTTGGTAATAGACGAGTTGGGATCGCGGCGAAATGCTCTCCGCAGATCGATTCTCACAGCGTTTATCAACCTTTTTCTTACTCAATATCAAGCCACACTTATTGTGTTTACTTCTTTATTTTAATTGAATAATTTCTGGCTTTTGTTGCTGTCAGTTAGCGGGAGAGTACGGGGCTCAGAATACTGAAATCTGTATTGTTTCATCGTTTTTTCCTTCGAATTTTGTATTATTTTCTAAACCACACGCTGTTACGCCGCCTACACACGGCGGCGTGCGTTGCCACTTGGCGGTGGGCGTGTCTTGATACTTGTACATTTTGTATTTCTCTGTTATAGACCACACATACATATAGTCCAGGGCTGCCATCTTTAGAGTTCAGCTTGGAGTGAGATGACAATATTCGATTTTGGTACACTGATTAATTTTGTTGCTATTAATTGTGTATTGCACCTATTCCATTAACCTTTACTCTTTTCAGTGAAAATATTATATTTTGTACTGTTGATATGTGTCTATGAACTGTTCATGCTTATCTTTATAGTTGAATGTATTTTAATTACACTTAGACCTGTTTACATCCTACTATCTCGCAACTATAGCCTGTTGTGAATAAAGTTTAATTTCATTTACACCCAGTCTCTGTGGCCTGAAATCGACTATGGAGGATACATCAGTGTACCCTCGGTTAAAGCTCCTCCAGAGAGACTCCTCTCTCCTCTCTCTCCCCTCTATCCCCTCTCTACTCTCTCCTCTACATCAGTGTACCCTCGGTAATAGCTCCTCCAGAGAGACTCCTCTCTCCTCTCCCCTCTAAATCAGTGTATCCTCGGTTACGGCTCCTCCAGAGAGCCTCTGCGATAATCGATCCTTGACGAGCCTTTAGAGACATTTGTTTTCCTTCGAGGCAGCGCGCCGACATCCGTTTCCGGGTCGCTGCCGGAGGACCGAGGAGTCGAGGACGCAAGCATTTGAGAAATGACAAACAGCTCATTTCGGAGCACGTCGCCTTGACGCCGGGACGACCGGCGACCCTCCCCGACAGGCGCACAGACGCGAAGGCCCGCCCACAACTGCGTGCACGTCTGTGACCGCAGTTTTAATTTGGATTACTCTGCAAGAGTATACCGTAGTATTTTGGTCCATCCAGATTACATGTAAATAATTTTCTATATCGTAATTTATAATCTTAATCTTAATGTAGTACTTTTAAAAACAAATGTTTATCTCCTTTAACTGTGTTTTCAGTAACTCACCCAATACAGTCAGAGGAGTAGCCTTAACTTTTTCACTTTAAAAGTATATTTTTCTTGATTCATATGGACAGATGTTCTTGATTCATATGGAAAGATGTCAATAACATGTGCTTGCCTTTTTTATTCGATGTGTAATTCTACTCTTTTTCCTTCTGCACTGTAACTTGGCTGCTGTAACACCCGTAAATGTCCCAGTTGTGGGACACATAAAGGATTTCTGATTCTGTTAGAACATCATTAAAGGTGGGGTAGGTAAGTTTGAGAAACCGGCTCGAGATACACTTTTTGTCATATTCCATGGAATGCTCTTAACATCCCGATAGCAATGAATATCTTAAGTGCTTTGACAAAAAATCCATTAAAAAATGTCATCTGTGGAAGCCGTAGTACGTAGCCCGGCTTAAATAACTGGATGGCCTACCTGCCTGTCAGCCTTCCATCTGTGCACAAACTTATCGTGTGCCCTCATTGGTCATGTGCGCGTTCGTGTGTGTTGGAGGAGGGGCTCTGTAAGGAAGTGGCAGATTTTTTCCGGCTGTGTATTTTCAAATTCTAGCTCACTCAAGCTGGTTTCTCCAAAATTACCTACCCCACCTTTAAATTAATAGTATGTAATTGATGTACAATTACAACAGCAATGTGCTTGCTGTTGTTATTCCAAAGTGAACTTTCCCATGGGAATCTAAATGCCATCAAAAAAAGCCTCCGGGCTGAATGAATCGGTTCCTATAAAACCAGACGTTCCTAGAGCATGACCTACATTCTCGTGGAGGCAGCAACAGGTAAGAAGCTCTTTGTTCCAGTTAGACCCATAAAAAGAATACTAAAAGGATTTGCAAATAATTCGTTTAGAGTTATTATGTTTTTGTTTTGCATTGATTTGAGAAATGCAGTGAAAGTCAAGTGAAGAGAGTGAAAGGTAAATTACTGCTAAAAGGATGTTCTCTTTTATTTTGTTGATGTCATTTATAAGGGTAAACTATCAGAGTCGGCGGAGTTACTTGTACAATGTTACCCATTGCAATTATTTCATAACAAAATACACTATACAGTACATGTACTACTTGCTGAATGTAACCTCATTACTTTCTGTCAGTTTTGGATTAACTCAATATCCAATGCAATGCAAATAAATCCAAGAGAAAAAATGTAAAACTAAGATGTGTTAGGTTCGCTCACCAGCAAAGTGTTGCTTTAACTGCACGCCTTCCTGCTTGGGCCGACACTTGAAGTGTGTGTGTGTGTGTGTGTGTGTGTGTGTGTGTGGTGTGTGTGTGTGTGTGTGGTGTGTGTGTGTGTGTGTGTGTAGTGTGTGTGTGTGTGTGTGTGTGTGTGTGTGTGTGTGTGTGTGTGTGTGTGTGTGTGTGTGTGTAGTGTGTGGTGTGTGTGTGTGGTGTGTGTGTGTGTGTGTGTGGTGTGTGTGTGTGTGTGTGTGTGTGTGGTGTGTGTGTGTGTGTGTGTGTGTGTGTGTGTGTGTGTGTGTGTGTGTGTGTGTGTGTGTGTGGTGTGTGTGTGTGTGTGTGTGTGTGTGTGTGTGTGTGTGTGTGTGTGTGTGTGTGTAGTGTGTGTGTTGTGTGTGGTGTGTGTGTGTGTTGTGTGTGTGTGTGTGGTGTGTGTTGTGTGTGTGTGTGTGGGACCATGGGGACACTGTTCTCTCAAAAACATTGATAAGAGTAAAGGGGTAAACTGTGACATGTAAAGAAACGATTTTTCACTAACACTGGTACTTCATATTTTCTACCAGATGTAAAGTTTTACATACATCAAAATGTAACTGAAAGTATCTTAGTAACACCAAAACAGCAAGAAATCTGTAAAGTAATCAAAAGAAACCTGCAATGTTTCACTGAAAAAGTGTTAAAAATCACAAACTGCCATTAAGGAAACCCCATTCCTTACAAAGTACTTCATATCCTAACAGATGTCAATTTTTACATACATCAAAATGTAACTGAAAGTATCTTAGTAAACACAAACAAATCATTGATGTTAACAAATACTGGATTGTCTTACTGAAAAAGTGTTAAAAATCACAAGCTAACCATTTAGAGTCACATTCTTAAAGAACATATATTCAGACAAAGCACTTATTATAAGCGTATCTTATGATCGCGTGCTGCAGTGGAAAAGCACCATTACAGTACCTTGGTGAGAGAATTAAGCAAAAATCAGTAAATGTATCAAAAAAACGACCTTGTTTCACTGCCTTAAAATCACAAACTGCCATTTAGAGTCACAGTTTGTGTGTGGGTGTGTTTTTTTGTGTTTGTGTGTGTGTTAGTGTGTGTTGCATGTGTTTTGTGGAGGCGGGACTAAGGTTTATGAGGGTCATAAATCACTCTCTTTGTGTAGTACTTAATCTCATTTTGACAAACAGTTGTCTTTCAACTACAGTCATGCAACGATTCATTCAGCCCGCAGGCTGTTTCTCATGGCATTTATATTACCATGGGAAAGTTCACTTTGGAATAACAACGGCAAGAATTTTTCTCTACATTTAATTAATTAATTTGTATTTTATGAAGGATCATTATTGCCGTGATTGCTCTATTAATTTAATGATATTCCAACAGAATCAGAAATCCTTTATCTGTCCCGCAACTGGGACATTTACAGGTGTTACAGCCGCAAAGGTGCAGTGCAATAAGAAAAAGAGTAGACTTGTAGACTAGCCTGTTAAGCCCCAAGCCTGTTTTTCAGGTCTCAGGCTCGAAAATGACCTTTCCACAACAACTGACAATAACTTCATTTCTAAAAGGGGTAAATTAATAATCTTTTTTCTCAAAGTAATGATAAACCTGTGAGTTGGATGTAGAAAAGTCAGAATCAATATAGATGTTTTTTATTTTAAAGAAAATTCAGATTGAACCAACACATTCTCACTCCCAACTCGGCCTATGTTGACGTCAGGGTCCCTGTCGTCACTTTCCAACGCAAGGGGGGGCCCTTTAGCGTGGAGTTTCAACTATCAGGGAGTCCCATTGACTTGCATAGAGCTCCCTGAACGTTGGTAATAGACGAGTTGGGATCGCGGCGAAATGCTCTCCGCAGATCGATTCTCACAGCGTTTATCAACCTTTTTCTTACTCAATTTAGCACATTTTAACATTATTATATGCTTACCTTTAACCTTTGTGTGCTGTTTGGGTCTGTGGGACCCGTTTTCAGTGTTTACTAAAAGAACATGTATGCAATCTAATTATTTTAACCTGCTTTATTTGGGGGTGGTCCTCACCTCCTCTAGGGGGGTCCTCACCTCCTCTAGGGGGGTCCTCACCTCCTCTAGGGGCATGCTCCCCCGGGAAGATTATTTTTAAATGTTGAAGTGAAATGCATCAATCTGGAGCACTTTGAGCACAACATGAATTTATGGATACAGCTCTCAACACTCAGATGAAAGGGAGCTGTATACTTTTCAAAAATCCAAACATCTTTAGAATATGATTACAACCAATAACACATAATTTAAACTTGTTTATTCTTATCTTATGTTACCTAGTTAGCATTCTTTCTTTTTATTTATGCTTATGTTACTAATCACTCCCCTTTCAAATACAATATAGTACACATTGAATGATTTCTTACTTTATCTATATTAAATAGATAAAGGTGTGCTCTCTCTCTCTCTCTCTCTCTCTCTCTCTGTCTCTCTCTCTCTGTCTCGCTCGCTCGCTCGCTCGCTCGCTCGCTCTCAGAGGCTGTGTGCTCCTCCGTGGCGATGACGGCTTGCGTTAAAAAATAATAATAAACATATTTGTAAAGTGGGGGGACACAAACGGGATTTCGAAAAGAGCGGGGGACATTTCCCCCCTGTCCCAGGTGGTAATTAATATATATGCAAGTTGCAACACACAGAGTAACACTCTGCCCCTCATGTGTTGTATAGGCTGGCATGATAGGCTGTTCAATGGGGCTGATGTGTTGTGTAGATTCTGCCAGAAGGAAAATCAGCGGGGAGGTGCCACATTGCTTTTCTTCCCGACTGCAACGCTGGTCCCGCAAATCAAGCAAGAACGTGATTGGTCGATATTCATTGTGGGGGTGGGGGGAGGAGGGATAGAGTTGTAGTAAGTATAGAGTTCGCTATGATTTAGGTTTCGTTTAAGCATAGGGTAGATTCTTTTAATTACATTTCCTTTTTTGTTTTGTGTATTTTATACATTTTGGATTTGCTTGGCAAGCTATTTTCAGAACATGCCCTGCGGGCGACTCACGTTGCCCCTGCGGGCGACTAAGTGCCCGCGGGCACCGTGTTGGCTACCCCTGAACTGAACTCTGGGGCTAACTCCCTCTATCATTTGTTCTTACTTTGGCCATCTTGATTTAAACTAGTTTGTTTATTTTGTTCTAGTTAATTGATTATTTTGTTTGACTGAACCTTTTCTCTTGTGATTTGTTTTATTTTAAGTGTCTATACAAGTTTTTATCATCTTTTGTTCATGAGAACATATTTGATATTGTGTTTGTTTGTTTGTTTGTTATTTGATTTACGTATTTTGCCCCCATTAACTGCGTTTCCCTCTTTGTTTCCCAACGTAGGTACTGAGAGCTGAAGCTGGTGGTTTTCTTCCCTTCTTTTGTGTGTGATGTGCTCCCCCGTCGACCCTATCTCCCCACTGGTAAGCCTCAGCCCCTAATTCATTTTTCCCTTTCTGTTACAGCCCTGTGTGACTGTTTTAAACTGCATTTTAACAATTGACTTGTGCTTAATAAAATTGTATATTTTTGATAAATTGAAACCACGTCTCCTGTGCCCTGTACTACGAAGCCGTTTTTTTTTCCGGTTAGCGAAGGTAACTTCAGGGTTAACTCAGGGTTTCCGGTCCTACGACGCTGGTTCACTTCTTACCGGGGTAGATCTCCATGGTAACTTATGCTGAACACCAAACCTGCTCCAGAGTTCCAGATAAGAGATCAACTCAGTGAAAGCACCGCCTGCTGACCAATCAGAGCTCAGTGTGCGGAGTTTAAAGCGATCAATTCATATTACAGGATAAAATAAATACAGTTTAAACTGCCGTATGCAGGAAAGAGGTCTGGCAAAAATCACCTACTGTGTGAACATGAACATTTACGGTATAGAATATCACCTCCCATCTTCAGAGCAATCTGACTATTATTACATTAGCGTTAAGAAAGCTTACTTAAATATCTGCCACAACATAAGTAACCGGAGCAAAGTAACATTACGTACAGTCCGCGACACTGTGAGTGCAGACATCGATGTGTCCCATTATCATTCATATCAGATCATATCACATCATAATGTATCATATATTTCCTTATCTGAGTCAGCTTCTCGAGCCGTATCTGGCCGTGCAACACTTACATTGTCACATACTCAGTGGCGTTTTTATATGTACAAAAGTGGTGGGGCACAAAAAAATTAGATGTCTATATATAAGCTTCTGCAGTGACGTGCAGTGAGGTTCATGGCTGGTGAGGCACTGGCACTGACTCTTCAGGTTTACAAATATTATATTTTGACCTAAACCAAAATATAATATTATTTTCAAAAGCTTTTTTTGTCTGATGCTTCGATTAATTTTAAACAGACAGTTCAACAAAAGGATACCCAAAAAATGTAATTTTATCATTTAAATATTGAATTGTTCTCTCTTAGTAAGATCCCATTTTCAATAAAATTGCGGTCTTACCTTGACTTGAAGATGAAGTCCATTTTCCTATCCTTCTGGACAAAAATTTCTATAACTTTTTTGTAAAAGTCCTCCTTATCTTCTTGTAGTTTCAAAAGTCTATCATAAATCTAATCCATAGATTTATGATAAAAAAATTATAAAAGTAGGGTAGACATGTGGATATTATCCGGCTAATCAAAACGTGCATTTATCTAACAGGTACGTTTCCCACAGATCTTATTTCGAGCTATTTTCTAAAATCCTCTGGAGAAATCTCATTGCTTTTTTGTGCTTACTTCCTGGTTTTAGGACGCGCCACTGCAGCTCTCTCGTCTCCTCTTCACACAGCACACTTTTCGCGGCACACGTACTTACAGCCAATCAGCTCTGAATGATTTGAGATGACGTATGGTGGGGATGGCAGCTCTGTGCCCCTCTGGTCATTATTTTTTTGCCACACACATTACATTACAAAATACTCTGAGCATGCGCAGTGAAGTTTTTACAGTCACCGTTCACTTCACAGCGAGAGGAAGGGGCATAATCAGGTTTTGTCCCACATGGCTCTAAACAGCTCAATAGGCACACACTGTGACTGTAGACACACTAATTAGAAGAACACAGACTAAAACAGCAATGTACAGACGAATCAGATGATTAAACATGATCTTAAAATATATTTTATATATTTTTTTATTTATTTTTTTGCATTTTTGTAATCATTATTTGTAATACTTTCTGCTGACACTAGGTGGGGCTGTGCCCCACCTGCCCCTAATGACCAGTCGCCACTGCACATACTGTATGCAGAAGTATTATTTAAAACAACACATTAAGTTGAAGAAACACTCGAGTCAAATGTAATTAAAGTCAGATCCACTCGTGTCTTAGACGGGCCAGTGATATCATAAAACTGTTAATGTACGCCAGGGGCGTCGCCTGGACCTGAAAACATTCGGGGCTTAGCCCACAGTGGCAGCGACACTACAGTGGCATTTTTTACTGCAACACTCCCCACACGCACACACACAGTACACCCGCGACTGTTACAATGAAGGCTCGATAATCAGCTCACGGCATATAGGCAGGGGTAAAGTGGTTTTATGAGTGGGGGGCGGACCTAACCTCCTCTAGGGGGGTCCGGGGGGATGCTCTCCCGGGAAGATTTGTTTTTAAATATTGAAGTTAAATGCATCAATCTGGTGCACTTTGAGAGCAAAATGAAGAGATCTATGGATACCTCTCTCAACACCCATATGAAGCAGAACTGTAAACAGATGTACTTTTTCTTCATGGATATTTTACTAATCACTCCCCTTTTAAACTCTATTCTTGTTTTACTGCCATATAGTATTTCATAACTGTTTTTCCTTTATTCTCTTATTTTTTTTATAACTATAAGCCCCGGATGCCCAGGCCAGGCGACGCCACTGATGTACGCATTCAACCAGCTGTTCTTCCTGCACCTTGCAGGTGCAACTATGTTGCTTTTATCCTGGATAAAGTGTTTAAGTCATGGATGTTTAAAGTTTAACTTATTCGTATTTGTCTAACGTGATAGTTTACTTTTCATTCAGGAAGTATGACGCTGCGCTGTCAGTACACTTGTCCCTGTTTGTGATTGGTCAAATGTTGATAACCCCGCCCCTTTCACGTGAACGCGCTCTCAGCCGGAAAGAGAAACCCTGGGTTGATTTACCGAGTTGATAACCAGCGTCGTAGGACCGCTTAGCGAGATGTCGTTTGTTAGGGTTAGTTAAGCCGGGTAACTCAAACATATCCAGGGTCTGTTGAACTGGCTTCGTAGTACAGGGCACTGCTCCATTAGTATTCGAACCTGTGTGTCCTATCTATAACAGAAAACCTGTTCATATTTCCTTGGGTGAAACTCCCAAGGTGGCTTGTCGGAATTGTGAATGGTGTAATCAGTGGCGATCCTAGAGTCGGTGGGGGCCCTAGGCAAACATTGCCCCTCGAACCAGCTTTTCATCACCACGCACAGCTAACAGCAAAACTTTGGGCCCCCTTCTGGTCCGGGGCCCCAAGCAGTTGCCTGCCTTGCCTGTTCACAAGGAGTGCCCCTGGGTGTAATCAAACCAACTTTAAACAAATACATTCACCTATCCTCCCCACTGCGGCTACTGCCACAATAATAAGGTTTTTGGATGCCTGTGGACAAATATTTAGAGTTTCAGAAAACATGTTTTGGGTAAATGCATTGTATCCAACTTCAAATGTTTTCATGAAAGAAGGTTCACAATGCACAGGCAATGTCAGCATTGTTTTGTTTTGCTGCGTATTGGAGCCTTCATTCTGTAAATTAAGAGACTCAAATGTGTTTATTTTTCCAAACAGTCTCCACAGGTGACCATGGCTGAGTACAAGCTAGAGATAACAACGGGTGATCTGCAATATGCAGGAACATCGGACTACATTTATGTCACCTTATTTGGAACTGAGGGGCAGAGTGAGCGAACTTTGATGGACAACTATGGCTTCGACTTTCAAACAGGGGCAGTAAGTGAAACCCAGTTAAACATCTGCACTTGTCTGTACATAACAGATTGCATCATCAAGTAAGCACTTTAGATTTTAAGTCATAATTTAGTGCAAGACTTAGCGCAAATGTATACCACACTAGTTCAACACCTGTAAAATACCGTAAACCCATATTGATCTTTACTACAGTAAGCCACATTTTTGTAATGAGTCGCCAAATCCTTTAACGTGTGATCTATGTGACGTTAACTGCTATAACTCTTATACTCTCAATGTGAAACACTGATATAAACACAATCTAATGGCCTTTTACATTTATGGTACAGTCAAATGATACATTTAACTTTAGTGGTGAGAGTGAGAGGACTCATTTGAAATAAGCCACTATTATAAAAGAAAAAACCTTAATATTAACAGACTGGGCTCTGGTATTCTATACTGTACATTTCAACCCAGCCAGTTGACGTAATGGGCTATCATCACATGTAATACAATGCTGACCACTTTAAAAAGATAATCTGGTTTTGGCTGAGGCTTCTAATAATCTGTATCATAATATAATAATTATTCTTATTCTTATTCCAAGCCAGGGAGCTACACCTTGAAAACCAGTTTTTCTCTGGGCAAACTTCTGCTGGTTAAGGTTGAGAAGGACCAGTATTTATGTCTCCCAGAGGATGAGTGGTACTTCTCCAAAATGGTGGTGACGACTCCAGAAGGAGATGTTATTCTTTACCCCTGTTACAGATGGATTGGCAGGGGAGAAATGGTGGAGCTGAGAGGAGGGAGAGGTCTGCATCAATGTCCCCAAATAACTGATTAATATAGATATTATTATTGTCAGTTTTTTTACATCTTGTTGGCTTTGTACATTTAAATTTGACTGCTATAATGTTCTTTTCATGTCTCAGCAATGAAAGCTTTTGAGGATGATCACCCCCTGTTGATTGACCACCGGAAGAAAGAGCTGATGCTCAAAAAGAGCTTGTTCCTGTAAGTTTCCATGTGTGCAGTAGAGCTGCCGTTTGTCGCCAAAGTTTATCTGGAGAAATGTCTTTGTGCTTTTGGGTAACTTTGTTTGTTTTATTAGATGGAAGAGTATGGGTGAAGGACTACCCCATTTCAACAGTTTCAATGACGTGTCTGAGCTCCCAGCTGAAATCAGCTACTCCGATTCCAGAACAGCTGACATCAATTACTCAAGAAAAAAAATGTGGGTCAATATATGTCATTAAATGTGTATATATTTATTATTATATAGCTCTATTCTTTAGATTTCTATATATTGAGGGAAAGGGTAAATTGCCATTCATTTCTGTATGTTGTTTATTCCTGTGTTCTAATTATTCCTTGTTTTACTTCAGTGCTATTGAACTCAAGGTTAAGGGGCTGCTAGGATCTACTGCAGAATGGGAGAGCATTGAAGACATAAAAAAAATATTCTGTTTTAAAAAGACAACAATATCAGGTATTTTCTTTTTATCCCAGTAACCAGTTGTCAGTGTAACTCACCCCATCTATGTCATGGTTTCATAACAACTGATAGATATTCAGTAGATGTTTTTCCTGTTCTGTAAAATGTTTTGTTTTCTACAAAGTTAAGTATTTCTGTAAAAGTTAAAATTATTTAAATACCTGACCAACATTCTTGCTTTACAGTCAATGACAATGATGATTTTGTTGAACCTGAAACCCCTAAAAACATTTTAGATAAATGATATTATATTATTTATTAAATGTACCAATTGTTATTCTTATTAAACCCAATATATAATTATGTTATATTTTGTATATATCAATTGCTATTCTTCCAGAGTATGTTGCAGACCACTGGATGGAAGATGACTTTTATGGATATCAGTTCCTGAATGGAGTCAACCCCGGTGTTATAAAGCGCTGCTCAGAGCTTCCCACAAACTTCCCGGTCACAGAGGAAATGGTGAAGCCGTTCCTGGAAGAGGGAAGCTCTCTGCAGAAGGAAATGGAGGTATGAGTGAAGATTAACTTTAAATGGATAATAATCTTTGTTTTCAGAATCACGATGTGTCCATTTACCATCCCTCTGTCATACTTCCTTGACTTATTACAATTCTGCGATACCTCTCGATGTTTTAAACACTTCTTTCTGATGTCTTTCCAGAAAGGCAATATGTTCCTTTATGACCAGAAGAAGATGGATGGAATTCCCCCTGCAGCCTATAATGGTGAACCTCTGCACGTGACTGCTGGTCTCTGTTTGCTCAACGTGAACCCAGAAAACAAACTGATGCCAATTGCAATACAGGTACTGTAAAATCAATTTAAAAGCCAGCATGTAATGTTATGGGTCTTTACCATGGTCAGTCTATGGAAAACCGTCTTTGAGGTATCTTAAAGGGAGAGTTAATAATCAATTTCTTATCAATTTCCAGTTGAATCAACAACCATCTGAGAAGAACCCCATCTTCCTGCCCAGTGATCCAGAAACTGACTGGCTGCTAGCCAAGATGTTCATAAAAAATGCAGATTCCATGGATCACGGATCAGTCCATCACTTCATGAGAATTCACCTTCTGGCAGAGGTTTTCGCTCTTGCAGCTCTCCGCAGCTTCCCTGTGATTCACCCAATGTACAAGGTATAAGTACTCCACACAACAGAGGTAGTGCAGGTTTTTTGTATTCCCTTGTTCTGAAATAATGCTTATCATTTTTATTGATTGATTTTCAGGTACTATAATAGAGATGGTTGATAGTAAAGCTGAGACATTTTCAAAATAAAAAGAGAAATGCTTGCAAACAAGTTCCCTTGATTAAACCCAATGACTTTGCGAGGTTGAATGCAACGTATGTGACAATGCTGAGATTAACGTAACACAACATGTGAATTCCAAAGGAAACTACTGTACTCTAAGAAATACCTTTTTGAAATGCTTGCCAGAGGCCAGAAGTGCAAACAGGTTATGGCTGGGGTGAGAGGTATCTGTAAAGATGTTGCACACATCTAAAACACATCTTTTGAAACATGAAACAAGGGGTTACTTATGGTAACCCTTGTTATATAAACACAGGCGGATCCCTCTACTGGACTCTATGGGTACTTCCCCTTGATCCTATCATGCAAGCATTCATCCACTGAGACTTTCTAGGCGTAGCCGGCCCCGGGGCGGGCCTACCTGAATGCCCGAGCATCTCACCGTATAAAAGGAGGCCTCGCCTCCTGACTGTCATCTTACACTTCTCTTCAGCAAGCAGCATAGGACAGACAGGGCCCCTGAGTAGAGGGCTCCGCCTGTGTTTATATAACAAGGGTTACCATACGTAACCCCTCGTTATATCTCTCACAGGCTCCGCCCTCTACTGGACTCTATGGGTACAGTGGGCGGAGCCCCGATGTATACACGCGCTGTCGTCCCACAACAACACTGTTCCATCTCACTGTTTCTGACCGGCTTTCTGGTTAGCAGCCGCTGCGCCTCACTCACCTCTCCCTCGGTCGTAACCGTGGAGAAAATTGAGGCTGCGGCTGACAGAGCACACCCTGACGCGCTTACCCCGCGGAGGTGTGCTATGACGTGGAGGACTCCCCCCCCCCCCCCCCCCCCCATGCCCTTAAGCAGGGGGAAAGAGTCCTCCAGCCCCTATGGGCCCATGTAAGCGCATTACGCCCGGGGAGGGGGTCAGATGCCCACTGACCCACAGCCCCCCTCCCTCCTCACCAGTCCTGCGTTGCCCCAGCAAGCACAGACGATGAAAAGGAGCCAGACATGTCCAAGAGATAAAACTTTATGAAGGGGCCTGGCGTTGACCAAGACGCCGCCGTGCATATGTCCTCCACACTCACTCCGTTAAATAAAGAGGTGATCCGGGGACCCCAGAACCGGAGGTTGCCCTCCACTGAGGGCGGGATGGTCACCAGACACCGTTTGTGTCTCTTGAGATCTAAACGCAGGCTGGAGAACCACCTCTGCAGGCGGCGCATATGCAGTAACCCCAGCGGGACCACAATGTGAGCAGCCGCCATGAGACCCAGGGTCTGCATGATAGTCAAAGCTGTCACTGTTGCCCCCTGTCGCAGTCTGCAAACTGCCCGAAGCAAGGATGCCTGTCTGCTCTCTGACAGGGTGGCGCGTAGCCTGCCTGCATCGAGCACCACTCCCAAATACAACGCCTGTTGGTGAGGTATGGGGGAGCTTTTCTTCCAATTGATCGCAAAACCCAACTTGGTTAGGTGTAGGATCAATTGGGCTGTGTAAAACATTGCCCGTTCCCTGGACCTGGCCATAACTATGAGGTCGTCCAGATAAAAGAAAACTCTCATGCCACGGCCGCGCTGCGGCTGGAGCGCTGTGGCCACACATTTGCTGAACGTGCGTGGGGACAGGGAGTAGCCGAACGGTAGTCTGCTGTACTCGTAGGCCACCCCCTGGAAGGCAACACGCAAATACTTTCTGTGTTTAGGAGCAATCTCGACATGAAAGTAAGCGTCCTTCAGGTCGATGGTTGTAAACCAATCGCCTGGCTGCGCCAGTCCCAGTAACTGTTTTATAGTAAACATCCGGAATTTTCTGCGTGCAATGTGGAGATTCAGACTGCGAAGATCCAGAATGGGCCTGAATTTGCCTGTCTTTTTGGGAACCAGGAAGTACAGGGAATAATGCCCCCCCCCCTCTCTGTCTTGCGTGCGCACAGCAGACACTGCCTGTTTTTGCACCAAGGCCTGAAACTCTGCTGAGAGAAAACCTATCTCCCCTTGGGATGATAGCTTTGCCTCTCTTATGCCTGTGAACAGAGGAGGGATGCTGCAAAACTGGAGTGAATAACCCAGTCTCAGCGTCCTGTCCATCCACTCCGTTAACACGCAGTTGCGCTTCCATTCCCCATAACACTGTGTTAGAGGATGTGCAATCAGCTGTGGGGCCCCAGCGATAAAGCTGTGGTACTCTCTGGCAACCTGTCCCGCCGCAAAACTCCCCGCGAAGGGAAGCTCTGCCCATGGGGGGTCGACACAGAAAGGGCCGACTCTCTAATGAGGACCTTGAACACACCGCGGCGCGCTCTCATGGGAGCCCGCGCTCCGCCATGATGCTTTCACCCAAACAGTGAAATGCATCAAACTGAGTTTTTACACTCTGCGTTAAATGTTTTCTAACCCTGCTACGCCGGCAATAATGTCCCTGTACCCGTATAGCACAGTTTATCACTCTCACCCGCGCATGAAAGGGCGCGGGTGAGACACTCCGTGTCCGAGTGGTCCTGCACTCTGAGGATTCCGGCCCATGTCGCCACCGGAGCCTTCGTTCTCAGTGGCTGTCGCCAAGTGGCCTCCACACACCGCCAGATGTCTGGCAGGGGGGGTTGAAACGAAGAAGCCCTGACGTAGGTGGCTCACCGGCCTCGGTGGCAGCGGTGGGGGGAGCGGCAAGCCTGCACGCTCCGCCGCCATAGTCATCACTCAGTCCTGTTGCGCAGACCTGTGCTGCTGGCCTTCCTGGCGGTCGCCGGGAACATCAGACGACGAGGTGTCGCCATCGTCGTCCCTCTCCCCGACGAGCGGACCCGCCCGGTTCGCTGGTATGGCGAACACGAAGGGCACTCCTTCCTCGAGGTCCTCCATCTCCACCACGTCGAGCTCTGGGTCCCTAGAAAGTCTCAGTGGATGAATGCTTGCATGATAGGATCAAGGGGAAGTACCCATAGAGTCCAGTAGAGGGCGGAGCCTGTGAGAGATATAACACAACTTTAATGTGTGTATTACATGTGTGTCTCACTGTTTTTGTATATTTGATTGTACTTGAAGATCGTTTTGTTATTTGTCATTCACTGTTTTTTTGGTTACTTACTTTTCACAGATCGTCTGAGGAAACTGGTTTTATGAACCATTATTTTTGTATGTATTGAAGAAATCAAACTTTTAATACAAAAATTGTAATTGATTTCAGTTGTGTTTGCTTATAGGTTCCTTCAGTTACCCTGGTGATGTTCTGCCTGTTGTCTGCTGAATCAAGCATCTTATTTGGACTTTTATTTATTTTTTCTCTGTCTGTTCAGCTGCTGTTTCCTCACTTCCGGCACACTCTTTACCCAAACATTAAAGCCCGCCTAACTCTATTCGGACCTGATGGTGTTTTAAGTAAGGTAAGGCTTTTTAAAATTGATATATTTATTACAATTATAAATAAAATAAAATTCATACCACACCTTGCAGCTTAGATTAGGCCGTTTTGGATGGTTTTTAATTTGATGTCAATAAATGTGTCTGATGGTATATGTGTATTTTTGATTTGTTAGAGTTCACTTGGACTTGATGGAATACATGAGCTCATGAGAAGGGATCTCTCTGAAATGACCTACAGCTCTCTCTGTCTGCCGGAGAACATCGCTGCACGAGGACTGGAGTCTATCCCCAACTTTTACTACAGAGATGATGGCCTGAAGCTGTGGAACATCATCCAAAGGTTTTACCTATTCATAGATATTGTGACTGTCCACAGTGATTCATTGTACAAACACCATTAGAGACTTTCTCAGGCACTCATATTATTAAAAATACAACTGTTTTGTGTATACCAGCTTTGTGAAGGCAGTAGTGGAGCACTATTATCCCTCAGACTGTGAGGTGCATAGAGACACTGAGCTGCAGGACTGGATCAGTGAGGTCTTCACACATGGCTTCTTAGGAGACAAAGCGTCAGGTATTTGTCCCATATTCTGAAGTCATTTGTAAATATAAAACATATTATAATAGTATATTTGAATGCACATAGTGATTGACAATAATAAACCCATGATGTGGTTATGAACATATTGTGCTGCCAACAGGGTTTCCAGCAGCCTTTCATACTGTCGAGGAAGTGGTCAAGTTCACAACCATGGTGGTCTTCACAACGACGGTTCAACATGCTGCCGTACACAGTGGGCAGGTAAATAGTTTAAGTTTAGCAGACCAGCCAACTGCTTTCGTTTCCTTTACAATAACCATTTAGTTTGCAGGACATTAGCTGAGCATTACAATGGAGTAAATGTTGCCTTTTCTTCTATAATGTTTTTTTCCATAATTTAGTATGACTACAGCTCCTGGGGCCCCAACGGCACGTTCCTTCTGCGCAAACCTCCTCCGACCACCAAGGGGCAGTCAAGCATGAAGACGGTCCTGGAGACCCTCCCGAATGTTGGCGAGACAGTCAGATTAGCAGCGTTGTTTTGGTTGTTTTCAGACAGATACTCAGACTATGTAAGTTTGGCGTCATAAATACTTACAGAGGATGTCCTATCCTGATGTTTTCTTCTTTTTTACCACAAACTTTCCTTTCTGATTTTATCCTTCTGGCAGATTCCCTTGGGAACATACCCAGAGGAACGATTTGATGAGCCTGAGCCTAAGCAGATGATAAAGGACTTCCAAGCAGCATTGTCGTGCCTCAGTGAAGCAATAACAACAAGAAACGCACATCTTGAACTACCCTACTCATACCTGGACCCTGCGGAGATAGAGAACAGCGTTTCTATTTAAGCAGATCTGCGATTGTATCCATGTATTTCTCATCACCTATTTTACATTCTGGGAGGTCAGTTAGACTTTTGATATAATACATACTGTATAAAAGCTGGGGCAGATAGATGAGGTGTAATGGATAATTCATTAGCAGGGACCACGCCAAAAAAGTGTGATGTTTGTAGGTTTATTGCAAGAAGTAACAAATGAATTGATATGGAGGGGGTGATGAGATATTCTGGTCTGGGAGGACGTGCTATGGGAGACTTAGAGTGGGGGTTCCGTCTCCGGCATGATCTGCTCGGGCTGATTACGGGCCCCCAGACAATTCCTAGAATTAGACATTTTAAAATATACACAAGTTAAATATGAATGGTGACAGGCAGAGGATGTTGGGAAGTAGGGATCAAGGGATGTAGGGATGTAGGGATGAAGGCATGAGGGAAGGGAGGGATGAAGGGATGTTGTGTGGCGCAGTGGATTAGTGCTTTGGTGTTCGGATCAGGGGAGCACAGGTTCAAACCCCACTGCAGTCAGCATGTCGTTGTGTCCCTGGGCAAGACACTTCACCCCAAATTGCTCCTGTGGGGATTGCCCACAGTATCTAGTATGTAAGTCGCTTTGGATAAAAGCGTCTAACAAGTAACATGTAATGTAATGTAATGTTGGGATGAAGGGATGTAGGAATTTGGGATGAGGGAAGGGAGGGATAAAGGGATGAAGGGATGTCTGGATGACGGGATGTATGGATTGAGGGATGAATGGATGTAGAGGTGTATCGCTCAGTAGGAGGTAGAAGGGGAACCGTATGGGTAGATGGTAGGGGGAGGGTGGGTTGAGAGGATGGAGACAAGCTATGGCCGGATGTTTGGCCGGGAATAATTAGAGATGGCCGTGATTAGAGACGGGGTTGGGCATGCTCCTGAACCTAGGTTAACAAGTTAACTTCATTTAGTAAGGTGTTGCTCTGGCCCCTATTTATCGATTACAGGCAAATTGATAACAAAATAGGGTGAATGTTTTCTTTTTTCTCTCTGTGTATTTTGTTGTCTCAGACCTTCTTAACCACTTAAGCCCGATTGCCCCCGCCGGCGGGAAGAAACTCAGCTATAAGTAATGTTTTATTTTTAGACGGAAACTATAATTTAAATGTTTTCACTATGTTCAATCTGAATTGACTTTAAAATAAAAACATCTATATTGATTCTGACACTTCTACAGCCAACTCACAAGTGTATAATTGCTTTGAGAAAAAAGTTTATTAATTTACTTTTAGAAGTTAAGATATAGTCATTTGTTCTGGGCATGTCATTTTCGAGCCTGAGGCCTGAAAAACAGGCTCAGGGTTTAACAGGTTAATGTATATTGAATGCAGCTACTGTGTGTTTAACGTTAGTGAAGGTTCCTCTTTCTTTTTCTCTATTAGCAATTAATAAAAAAGCTATTTAACTTCTGCTTGTCTTTAAAATCATTTTACTCAAACACATACCTATACAGTACATAGTAAAACCAGAGACACTGAAAATGCTGCAGTGGTCTCCAGAGCTGTATGTAGATCTACTGTGAGTTCTATTTGTCGGGTTCACTTTGATTTCGCTGATGTTTGATGCACTTTTATTCTGACAGAGTGGGACTTCATTCTTTCTACCTCCTCTTTGATGCAAACCACACTTTTCAAAACACAGTCCGAGTAATTTTAGACTACACCATACAGTCAATATCCCTTTCTCATTTCTCATTTTTCGACTCCTCGCCTCGCGTCTTAGTCCTGCCCAAAGGAGATGCGATCGGTGGAGTCGAGGAGGGAAATCGAGGAGAGACGAGTGGAAATAACAGGCGTTTAAATAAATTAGAAATCCTGTCCTTTAAGCGGTCATTTTAAAGCGACGTCCATTAAAGATGAAAGGAGGCACAGCAACAGTCAGTCTGATGGGCATAACCATGTTCACCAAAATGTATATATTTACTTTCAATTCATTCACAATGTGGTATAGTGAGACAACAACAGGCTGCAGATTTGGATATATATATATATATATATGATTTCAGAATCAAACGAGTATCAGAGCACTCATAATAACGTGATACTATCAGAGACTGGATATATTTCCCTCACCTCTCTCTGGTCGCTACAAAGGGGAAAACGTAATTACGGGCCAAACGTTTTATTTACAATTATTAACAGTAAGCAGGGGAAACCAACCAACTGAGACCTGTCACATGCACACACACGCACCGACAGCATATCTCAGGCTACAGCTGTTGTGTATTTTATTATGTGAAGTACTAGTGTCTTCCAATTGTTTTTAATTTTATTTCCTACCTATTTAGGGTTAAAAAAACTAAACAAAAAAAAACATCTTGCAATTTAGACTTTTTAAATGTAATTTTAAATGTTACAGTATGTCCACTGTAGAGGACGTCAAGACCATATAAGTGTGAAAAGACAGCCATAATTAACAGATAAACTATGTAACATATTATGCTTATAACGTGATATTAATTCAAGAATACATTCACCTTTATTTAAACAATAAATAAGTAATTGTTCTGAACATTGCTGTATATTTGATCACTATAAAACTAGGTTTTACCTCAATATCAAATGCAATGAAACACATGAGCACATACTACAGTTTAAAAAAGCAGAAATAAAATCTAAGTTTACCGTTTTAGTTTAATACATACAGTTAAGCTCACACACACTATTATACAAACATATAGGTTCAACAAATGAACCAAAGAAAGTGAAAACCATTGTCGAGACGAAAGTCAATATTAAAATAAGGATAATGATATCAGATAAAAACATTGAAGGGCAAATTCTAAATCTGGCTCCAGTCCAGCAGGTGGTGACAGGGAGCCTAAAATCTGTGGTTCCACTACTAGAGATGGCAAATCCGGATCCTTTTACGGACTCAGGGTCTTCTGAGTCAGTCATTGAAAAGATCCGGATCATACGAGTCATTTGAGTCATTTGAGTCAGCATCACCAAGACCGTAGAAATCCTATCGGTGAAACCGAAAAGTTGTTGCATTTCACGAGCATATTATTATTCCATATATTTGAATATATATATATATTTGTATATATATATATATACAAATATAATAATAATATAATAATATATATATATATAATATCTGCATGTATATTTTCTATTTCGACATGTATATTTTATATTTTATATTTTATTTTATTTTTCTTTCTATTCTTGTATATTTTGTAGTTTTGTTTTATTGTAAAATGCCTTTTATGCTGCTGTAACAACAATTTCCCAATTTGGGATCAATAAAGTACTATCTATCTATCTATTAAACTGACGTTATATTAACCTCCGCTACACAGTGTATTTTGCTTTAATAAAAAATGTTGATCACAAAAAAAAGGGTTATTTTGCGATTTGGCAAATCTGAGTCTGCTGTTGACTCGTGCATGAGGACGAGTCTGCTGGATCTCCGGATCAGCTGCTATATACGGCTCCGAGTCCGCACGAGTCTGGATTTGCGAATCTGAGTCTGCTGTGGACTCGTGCATGACGACGAGTCTGCTGGATCTCTGGATCTGCTGCTATATGGTTACGGCTCCGAGTCCGCACGAGTCTGATCCGCTGTGTGTTGCAGCGAGTCAGGATTTGCGAATCTGCGAATCTGCGAGTCTGCTGTTGACTCGTGCATAATATAGCGCGGGAGCCGGGTGCTGGAGGAGGGGCTATGCTTGTGCACATGACGAGTATGGATCTCTGGATCTGCTATGCTATTACGGTTAGGAGCCGTCGGCTCCTCTGAGTCCCCACGAGTCTGCAGGAAGTTTCACTGATCCGCGTCCCCTCCCCTGAGCCAAACGATAACTTCTGGCAGGCAGCTATCCTGTATACTTGCTAAAGGGTAGGCAGATGGACTGGGGTACGTTGTAATGTGATTTTACATGTTATAAAGAGAGTAGCGAGTGACGCAATTTATAGTTTTAATTTGTACGTCACACCAAGTGTGGGACTCAAGGACTCGGGTTAATGGAGAGGGGAGACTCGTCACGACCAGCTCATTTCTAGGATCCGGGTTAATGATCCGGATGAATCAGGACTCGCCCATCTCTATCCACTACAGATGTGGCTCAAAGTAGAGCAAAGAGTCACGTATATAATGAGCCTGATGCAAAGCACCTGGAGATGCACAGCACACTCTCAGCAGAGGACAAAAGGAGAAACAATTCACTGTGAGTGGCAGAAAGGAGAGGATTGACTGGAAAGGATTCACCCAGAGACACTGCTGGTTTTCAACCTAAAACGTCTGAATGAGCAACATGGAAGCTAAATGAAGCTGCATGGAGCTAAAAGAACTCTACAGTATCTCAAATAAAAAGGAAAGACTCAAGACTGAGTTGTCCCGTGTGTCCTTTGGAGTGAACCAGGCCTTTTTTCAAGTTTAGGCAGGAGTCAATCAACCAAACCCAATCAGAACTTGACAACCATAAAGCAGATTTAGGTCGTAGGCGTACAGATTAACACTTGAAGTAGAGCGGTGAAGTGACGCGTCCTAAAACCCAGAAGTAAGCTGCGCATGGGTTCCCTACATCCATGGGCCGTTTCTCAATCGCGAGGATGCTGGCTTGGTAGCACAGCCGAGCCGAGCGTCTTGCTTCAGAAGCAAGGCAAGAATACTTCCTGGCATTCGGAAAACAAAGAGTGGAACAGGCTAGCAAGTGTGGAGGTGTGCGTCATATGAGAGGCCCCGCCTTACATCTTCCGCCACAGATTTGGGGAAATTGGTCCATGCGCAAAGCATTGTGGGGATTTTAAGGACGCGAAGTCTACCCATGTGCAGCCTCGAATTTCCCCCAAACCAAGGACGCGGCCTCGGTGGAATTCCAAGTATGCTGGAGATTGGAACAGTCCTTCGGCGGCACTCGATGACGTAGCATCCTTGCAATATTGGCTATATATATAAGCCAATATTCTCGCGATTGAGAAACGGCCATGGTTCCCCCGACAAAAAAGCAATGGGATTTCTCCATAGGATTTTGGAAAATAGTTCGAAATAAGGTCTGTGGAAAACTAACCTGTTTATAATTTTCTAATCATAAATCTATCGATTAGATTTATGATTAGCTTACTTCCGGGTTTTAGGACGCGTCACTGCCACACTCTAGCCTACAGAACAGTACAGTTTACAGAGAAGAAATACAATCTGACCCCTTAGATTTTTTCTTACATGGGTTGTTTTTTCCCCCCCTAATTTGCAGTTACATGTAATTTGTTACTCCCCAAGCCAGTAAACTAATAGGCTATGCCTTTTACTCACATGCCTATAATCTTGTAATCCAATTTTATTTCACAAGTCTACAAAGTGTCAGCTTGCAGAAAATAAAATTACTGATATTGTGGTGTTACCTTTATTATTTGTGCAGTCAAAACTCACCCAATCATCAGCAGCAGTTTTGGTCATGGATTGTACAGGACCCACCATCAGTCCATCAGGTAAAACAACCACATCATGTAAACATAATTATTATTATCATTAATATTGTTACCAGTTTAAAATGTTCACTTAAAGGGGACCTATCATGCTAAATGCACTTTTGTACGTCTTTTATACATGAATATGTGTCCCCGGTGTTCCAGGGAACTCACCAAGTGTCAGAAAACACAACCCTCTCTATTTTCCTCCATACCCAAATCTCTAAAAAAGGGGCTGCAACGGATCTGATAAAAACTGATCCAGATTTGAACACTGTCCTGACGTCAGGACAGTGGCGCTACGGCTATTGGGCCAACTCCACCAATCAGGAGGAGACAGCCACGGCCATTGCCGTTCGAAAGCGCTGGAGACGCTGTAGTACATATGCCAGGCCTGTAGATGGTGCTGTTCTCACAGAATCAGCCCTTGCAAAAACAGAGCTAACATTTTTCAAATTGAGCGAAATGAGGCATGGCTAAAATGCATGATCTGTTTGGTATTTTGAAAAGAAAAAAGTATAAATATGCCTTATATAGGTATGGTCCTACACTATATTATTCAAATATAGCATGATAGGTCCACTTTAAAGGGAAATAGTAAAATGGTATTTTTTTATTTTCTACACATCAATAAAAAAAAAGTTTAATTTGTATTTTGCTAAATAAGCGTGAATATGCAACCCAAGTCTATAAATAACAACTTTATCACAAAATAATTGCATTGTTAAATGTGATCGAACAGAGAGTATTTGCAAACAATAATGTTTCCTATATTGTTGGGAATTTTAGAGATATATTTATATTTCTGTATTTTTATCTGGACCCAAATATTGTCGTGGCGCATTTTGACCCAAACTGAACCAAAAGGTGCAAAATGTGAACATGGTAAAAGGGTTCGATCAGAGAGTCAAACAAGCTTTCTGATGGGCAGCAGGTCGATAGAAAGGCAGGGGCGCCCCCTCCTGGGTGCTTTAGCAAAGGCTTAAATCCCTGAAGATT